GGTCTGAGAGCCGCTCGCTCTGCGCCTGTCTGCACTGGCTTTTCGGGAACTCCTCGCTGATTAATGGCTTTTAATTGCACTGTCTGTATGCACCATCGAATTGTTCCCGCGGCTTTTGTCGTTATTTCATCCTGGGGAATGTTTCCCCTGCTTTTGTTTTGGAGTTTTGCCTGCCCTTTTGTTTTGCACCTTGTACGTGATCTCGCTAAATCCTGGAAACCGCACTGTATGGATGGATCTAAGATCTAAAGCAATTAAATACATTGTTTCGAAAGTGAAATGTGGACAAAATTACTCGTTCAACGCCCAAAAGTTTTTCATATGACCTCCTATGATGAGCTAGTCAACCTCGTGTGGTGCAACTGAATCGAACAATTAGATATTCAAACCAGTCAATGAATGGCGTCGAAAATGGATGTAAGGACAGGGGGCCCGGGGGGGGGGGGGCATGGCCCTCAGCTTTCAAGGTGGGGGGGAAGCAGTATCAACCGCCCCTTCTAACTTTGCAGATTAAGGTTGTGTTTAGCTTGCTTTTGCATTAACTCAAACATGCACGCCGATTTACCTAATTCACCAGCCATCTTCTTCAACATGCGCCATCTTTTTCGTTCGCTCATTGGCCATTGCTTAGTGCCACAGTCACGCGGCCGACGCCGCGCGGCCTATGGAGACTGCAACGCCGGGCGTCGGGGCCGATGTCGCAAGACCTGCGATCGCGCATGTTCAAAACCATATGACGTAGTTCTTATCAGTAACACATTCTGACTGAATCTTGCGTATTTTAAGACGAATATGGTCTATCCATGTTTATACAAATCTGGGACCCCACTTCGATCAACAATCTTCGTTCAGAGGGTCTTCAATATCTATGAAGAGTGAAAACAAAATCTGGAACTGGAGTCCATGTTATATTTGTTGGATCACCTGCGGCGATCACGGATGTTGTTGTGTCAATGAGGCTTCCTGTGTTGATCCGGGGCCAACTGCGCGAATCAGAAGGCCTCCCGCGTCAGGAAGGAGAATTGTATGATGTGATATATCCCTCCAAGGGCCTCCGCATCGACCAAGAGATCCCACCCCGTGCCACCAGAATGACAGCCAGAAGACACTTTGCGATCGGACGGAATGGCCTTTCAGCTCTTGACCGCAAACAATGATGTCCCCTGGTGTTCTATCCCAAGGGTCTGTTGCCTGCAAAGAAATACGAGGTCCCATTTTTGTTGAATAAAAAGGGTCGAAATGAGTTACAAGATGAACAGCGTCATTCCATGTTTGCCTGAAAACGCTCGTTCTTTTCCAAAATGGACTAGTGAAGCCAATCACATCAAAAGGTTTGAACATGTCCCCCGCAACCTTAGGAGCAAGGACAGCGATGGCTTGAGCTGTAGCTTCTGTAAACCCGAACGACGTTGGCCTGCAAGGACATCAGCGGGGGCGCCGTGTAAATCTGTCTTCTAGACAGATTAATAGTTACAGAAACACGAAAAACAGAGATCATACGCTTTCTCTTCCAGTTCCACCCCCGGATTTCAGCACCACTTCCCGGTGCTGTAAGAGCCAGTCCGCTTTTATCAGTTTTAACATCGCACAGGTGAAATATGCGCACAGACTACCTTTAAAATGCAAGATTTTATATCCGGAAGCGTTCAGAGATATTTCTCTAAGAAGCGCCATTCTTTTCGTCCAATCGTTGGCCACTGCTCAATATTATCTGCTGGACCAAAGCCACGCCACTAATGGAGACTGCAACGGCTGGCGTCGAGGTTTTTGTTGGTCAAATTTGCGAGCACGCTTGTTCAAAACCATGTCACATAAATTGCATCACTGACCGATTCTGGCTGCATGTTGAAGAATTGCGGACAAATATAGCTGTTTATACACATTGTTGGCCATCAAATCTACAATGACATGTTCATCTTCAAATTTCGTTCAAACATATCGATCTAGAATCTACCTTAGCTATGTCCTTAATGTCTGTAGAACCCAGACAAAAAAATTCTGACAAAGCTTCTGAATTAAATCGCTCTAGAAAGAGTCCACTAAGCAACTGTAAATGAAAAGCACTGGTGATTTATTCCATGCAGTCGCTTAACGCCTGATGCCTGCAGTTATTGACTTCAAAATGTAAACAGAATTGATTTCACGATAGCTTCTGTTTTTTTTTTGTTTACAATGTAACAATAAAAAGTACATCGAAGAAAACCGTGTCTCTTGTTAACAAACAAACATATCTGAAGATTTTGGGGGAAGTCACCATATGAGGGGCTTTTGTTGGACCTGTGTTTCGCCTTGCCAGGGCTCTGGCTACGTCCGCGTGTACGTAAAAACCAGACGAAGTCGGTTACGTTGAATGATGGGCAATTGCATGTCCGCTGGACCAATGCATAGCAACGCAGGCAGCTTCCTAAGTTTTTTTTTCTGCGGTAGTGTGTTGTAAGGAAATATAATTCGTAAAAAGATACTGTTGCAGGTGTCCAAGACATGTTTTACACAGGAATAGGTAATAATGCTGATTCATAGATATGCAGGAGAGCGGCCATACGATCAGTTCGCAGTCAGCCTTGCGGGAAACAGCCTAGCAGGGCAGTAGCCGCTGACGGAGGACGGGAGCAGGGCTCAAATGAGAAATATATAATAGCAGGGCCTTCATTCTGTGACTTAATCTTTTACAGGAATAACTCCAGCTTTATCGTATCGTCACGTTTTTTTGGCAGTTCGTATTTCAAGCTTCCGATTTTTTCCGCATAAAATGATGCGACAAATCTTATCTCTTGAAAGCCCTAGGCGAAATCTAGGCGCATGGAAACTGCAGTGCTCAATGGACCATCGATTCGCACAAAAAATTCTGACTAGCCTCTCTCCAGGTCGTATTTTGGCATCTACCCTGTGGAGACAGATCCCTCCCAATGACCCAAAATGCCTGACCGCCCGTGGAATTTTGTCTCCCCGGGAAAGACAATGTTGAAATGGACGACAAATCTTGAAAAGCTGGATAGCCTTATCTGCCGAATGGTATAGATGAGTCAGAAAGACAAAATTGTGCACCAGTCAGAAAAAGCTGTGTATGTATATCTAGCATAGCGGTCATGAAATTGAATTATTTCCTAAATCTCTTGTGAATTAAGAGCGGAGAACAGCCTCCATCTCTGCCCCCCCCCCCCCCCGATCATCGGGTTTGCTCTCAAGACAAACTTCCTGAAGTATACCAAGCTAGCCCCCCCCCCCCCACCTTTTTAAAGGTTTCTACGCCTTGGTACAGAATATCTTTGCATAACTCAATTGTGAATGCAAAAATTCCCGATCTCATGACGTCATAACTCAGCTGCGCGACCTGGCAATGAAACCTTGGTAAAATACAGAATGTCATATTGATCGCTTTTAAGGAAATGATAATTTGGTAAACCAGTCTGTCACGGTTCTTAAGTATTTTTCGAAGCTCGGAAGGGTTGATGTCCCCCCGCCCCGTCTCCAGAAAGCTGTCGCGAGTCATGCAGCTACTTCATGAACAAGAACGGGTCTACCAGCATTTCTGGAATGCTGTTCACTGTCATTGTAAATTGACAGCTTTCTTTTCAAAGTGCCTCCGCCACTCGGAGGTGATTCTGATGAATCCGGCTTGGCTGCATGTCTCGTTCCGTTCCCAAGTGATGCCTGCTTGAATAACGCTGACACACAACTGATCGTCCCACCTGGCTGTCACTTGGCGCGTTTGGCGACACATCCTCAGCACGGCTTCGATCAGTGTTTCACGAACTCGCTCAGCACCGCGTCCACGAACTCGTGCTGAGTTAAGGCAGCGTCCCAGTACAGCAACTCCTCCCGCATCACCGCTTTGTTCCTCGCGTTGCTAAGGCGTTTTTGGAGCCGTTCGCAGCAGGCAGCGCGTGCAGCGCAGACGCGTGCCCGCGCTCCGCGCCTGGCTCTGTTCGAGGGGTGGAGCAACGCGTGCGCCAAACGTCGCGGGCTGACCAATGACCATTTGAGCTTCGTCAATCAATGCCGTTCAAAATAAGCCACAGTCTCGGTGCACGTTCGATGGTATTTGGGTTTAGGACGCCTCGGCTGCAGCAGTCGCTTTCGTGCCAGGGATCGTGGGGTTAGCCTCACGAAGCCCATCGCAAAATACGACTCACCGCACAACTTGTCTCCTACGCCTGAAAGCGTCAACGGCCCGGAGGTACAAACATTTCGCAACCTGGCACAGCGTGAGGTTTGTTTTTGGCAAAATTTTGCTTCCTCTTTGCAAACTTTGCATGCATATTACTGAAAAGGCCTACCATACTATAGTATCAGCGCGAAGTTTTTTTGAAAAACCCCACCGGGTAACACATCTTAATGCAAACCTTGCCTCTCGCCGGACCGCCAGGGCCGTTTGGTGAAAACCTTGAACAGGTGGCTGGGCCTCGAGGCCCTACCGCCCGCCAACTCCCGCACAGTGGTGTCGCCTTGCTTGGACTCGCAGACTGCAGACCGCTTTGGAGATGCATATCGCCAAGGTTTCTATCCCTTCCCTCCTCCCCAGTGCACCATCCTTCCCAGCGTCCGCCCCATCCAGCCAGTCCGAACACTCCAACAAATCTGTTTTGATGATGGAAACTACTCGTTCGTGGAGGGCCAGACAAATGCCAGCGAAGACGTAGGTCACACGCCTGTATGGTCGTGATCACGTCAGTCACGCACGCACGGCGAGTCGTCCCTCTCAACAACGGCGATACAACGGCTTTAGCAGTTACGTTTTCGCTGCGGGCTGTGCGGAAGTCCACGGCAGCGACGGCGGCACGCGCAGACAACGTAGGCAACTTAATCAGTGGATTATAGGGAGTCGAACCTAGTTGGGCATCGTAAACCGGGTCAGCGGGAAAGGAAATACGGAGGAAAATAGTACGCCATAACTGCAACATAAACGTTCAAAACACGAGAATGACTATGCCACTCTGTCGCGCGGAAGGCTATCCGTTCGCGTTCCTTCAACGTGCGAGACAACCAAAAAAACAACTTGACAATTTGTCGGATCTTTATTTCGTTTTGTATAAATAATAAAATATTTCAGTCGCGCACGTTCGATAAAACGTCGCTGCGCAGCATCGTGCGGCGGTTGTCCACGGGGGCTGACGCGCATGCGCGACTCGGCGCTGAGTGGCTCCCCGGTAGCGGTGACGGCTCGTCGCCGGTCTTCGCTGGCTGAGAGGGCACGGGCGCGCTGCGATGGCAGGACGGCCGCAGAAGCATGACAGAAGCGGTGGCACGCCCACTGCCGACAGGAAGACACCATTGGTCAGCCAGACACCACCCATCACATTCTCCGTGCCAAATGTGCGCCCGCTGCACACCTGGGGTCACTTTCACGCGCGCAACAATCATCTTACAACGGCGAAATCTATTCTACGAAGAGACCGCGGAACAAAAGTAACAAGCCCGGAACACTGGTGCATGCACAATAATGGAGCGATCCCACAAAATCATGCGCGGCTGTGACAGCACGTGGATGAGGATAAGATGGCTCAGAGGTTTTATGAAGAAAATATTGTAACTTTCTTCAGTAACCGCTCTCAACACGGTTTTTAAACGTCAGCTCTTAACGTACAACCATTGTACACGCCCTGCGCGAATCTGAAATCCACAATGACATAGGTATACAATGCCATTCAATATTTATATGTCATATTCACTGATGAACGTATCAGAAATATCCGTACTGTGCGGGACGCCCACCGATCTCTCATCACCTCACCAGTCCCAATAATTGTTATGCGCAAGAAAGGTGGCGAGCTTCTGGTTCGCCATCGTTAGTGGTATTTATGTTGAGAAAAACAAGACCCTTAACACATATAGCTGTTCCAGTTTAGCCAGTACCTACCGGTGGTTATTTTCAGAATGTGATTTCTACAAGACGCATACAAGCGTCCATAGCGCAATAACGATGCTGCCTAGGTACGACCTGCCCGATGCCTGTAGGTCATACTTACTGCCCAATGGCGATGCTCACTGTCGTGACACTTGCCAAGCTTTCTTGCCTTTTAGCGTCTTTTGTCCTGTCGATTTTTCTTACAAAAATCGACACGAAATGTACTAGTGCCTACATGCTCGCCAACACTCCCTCAACGAAATGTGCATGGCGACAGACAGGCATCCACCACAACAACGCTACAAATTGAAAGCCCCAACCCGCCCGTCAACGGTGTTATTTTCAGTCAAAAGTTTTGCATTCTGACACACTGTCACAAAATGGCAAAGCTAAGGGCCAGCCTCTATCGGTCAACGTGTATTCTAGTTCATCTGGAGCATGGTTGTCGAAGGTAGAAGAGCCCTTCAATAATCAAGGCCATGTTTGAACAACACACTAATGCATACATTGAGTCATCTCCCCAATTCGGCTATGACGAGGTGCACAGACGCAGCCGCGGGTTCGACTATGACGTAAAACCTACATTTTCGGTACCAGTCACATTAGTGGCATCCTCTACCCGGAACACGGCTGCACAATGCGGCTCATCACAGACGGTGAATGGAGATGACACAATACAAGCATTGTGACCTCTGGTAGTGTCGTGTCCGTCGAGTTCTGCGCAGGAGCCCCATGACGTTCGCTTATGCATACAGCTGTTACGTTAACCACCTGCATCAGCATGTTCCAAAACACTACATTCAGACCTTATGACATCCGTAGTCATGATAGTACAAATCACTAAAAGTGAGTACCTTTTAAAGCCATGATTGTCCACCGCAACCATGAGGCCGCCCGCAACGACACTCGACCAAGCCATTCAGATGTCGCTTACCGTTTGGAACTACCACACTTTGGTCTCGAGATAGGATGTCGCTTCGGCCACCAGATAATACATCAAAACATCGACGACGTAAGTGCATGACCGAAGTGCCCCACAGGGAACGCGTCACTTACACTTTCTAGATTTAGAGCTTCTCCTCCTCTAGACCATGCTTGAAGAAGTACATGAAAGGCAGTTCCGAGCCATCCTTGTCCTCGTACAGCATGATGGCCACCATACCATCCGGGTTCATGCCTTCGCCTGCCACAAAGAAAGTAGTCAGCAAATAGGCGGAACTCGCGTGGGCCGGGAGACAGATAAATCTTCAGATCTCTCAACATGAAATGCAAACAACAGGCATTAACACAGACACGCAAATGGTGGAGCAGCGCAGTGCAACTGAAATGACGTAGCTCCCTGGTACTGAACTTTGCACGTACTCTGAACTGAAGGGAAACGGCGAATGGCACAATTCCTCATAGTCCACTGGCAGCCACTACTTACCCTGGAAGAACTGCATGTCCTTGAACTTGCCAATTTTCTCCTTGATGAAAGCGTTGGAACCGTTCTTGAAGGTGTCCACCTGGTCGGGGCTGGTTTCGGCCAGCTTGGTGCAGATCGCCTTCATGTAATCCTTCAGGTACGAGATGTAAGCCTTCTTGTCGCTGAAGCCGGTCTCGGTGAGGCGCATGTTGAGCACGACATCCACGCCCGACTCGTTGTCGTCGTCGGTCGCCTCCTCAGCATCCTCGGCCGACGGGTTGGCACCGTCCAGCACCAGTTCGCCCACCTTGCTGCGCGTGATGTACTGCGGGCAGCGGGCGACGCAAGTCATGTGCTGCGACTAGGTACGTCACATACTGCTGTTAGCAGCCAATGCACGTGAAGCAGTGCCGGCGGTGACAGATGTACGTGATGTACTGTCGGCAGCACCCCCCCCCCCCCCCCCCCCGAAGTCGTCCAGCAGAGAGCAAGCTGGGCGCAACCATCCAAACCAACCCGCCCATATATCAGTTCTGCTCGTCCGCAGTCAGTGGAAAATCTTATATTCCCCCCTCTCCCGTTATCATCCAGCACGGTCCATGCTAAGCCTCGTTATTCCGTGGCCCACTGCATGTCCACATAACGGCTTATGTGAACCCGCAGTCATGACGTTACGATGTACGGCATAACCCCGTCAGACACCCAATCGGTACACGGGTGCACGGGTACACGGTACACTGGATCTGGACCCGGGAACCCAAGTCCTTCCGTGGTCCAGCGTGCAATTTTGCTACGTCAGGGCTTCAGGGCACAACTCACGTCCGTCGAAAGGAGTCCCCACCGAGTCCGCGTGGCCTAATGACGCAAACTGACGCGCATAAATCAGACGTGATGAGTAAACAAGAGGAGACTGAAAAAACGAAGTCAGAAAGGCGGGACCAAATCCGGGTTAGTCTTGTTCGCTTGTTTTGTATGATATACGTAAATTTCTCACGAAACCGAAAACCTACTGCATCGGACAGTACCAAACCATAATCGCTGTATTATCATGTGCTGCTTACGCCATGTCACGCCAAAACCTTTGTTTACTACCTTGAAATACACATAAAACACATCCGCAGCATAATACACAACACAGCAATTCATCCAGCGAACTCAAATGCCATTTTGTGGAGGCCTAGTCTGATGCGGAGTCTGCGGAGTGCAAGACAAACAAACCATGTTTGCCTCCATTCCCCAACCACAAAAGCGACCTTGTAACTGCAATGTCATTCCCCTGCCAGGTGGCACAAGTATTTCCCACAATTTAAAAGAACAAAAAAAACGAAACTTGCGTGCTTACAATTTACGGTGCATTTGCAGCGACCCAGACAACGAAAAATAAATGCCGTCAACGTCACTTATGACGTCATACCCAATGGATTCTGCGTCTCCTGGTGTACAGCGACCCGTTCGACAAAGATTCTACATCACCTCCCGTAAAATCTTTGCATACGCGCAGAATCGTTTTCCGATACTTGATCGAAGTAAGGCAAAGTGGCGCAATAGGTTCCATCATAAGGAATACAATGCAATACAATTTGCAAACCAAAGATCCACGACGAATAATAAGGTATTTTATATGTTGAATACAGCAAAAATCAGTTTCCATTGCCAGAAGTATTGTTAGCACCTGCCAACGAAAATCTCAGTGCCTATGCATACGCAGCTATCGTCACAACAGTTATGAATATGTGAACAGAACGCGCGTCACACTGCGAACACCTCCGGCAAACTCTACATGATATTACGTAGAAAAGAATATTTTTGGTGCACTGTAATACACCCTTTCTTGTACTGCAATGACCATGACTCTCGATATGGTTAACAAGATTAGTCAAGACAGCTCTTACCTTGCCTTCCACCCGGTAGACGGCATCATGAATCGTTTCGTAGGTGTAGGTGTCCATGAACATCTCATCTCCTGGAAACAAAAGATCGTCACATAATGCAGACGCGGACAATCATGCCTTTACAGATCAAAAGCACATACACCAGGCCAGGGGGATCATAAGAACAGACAAATAGGAAGATGAGGGGGTGAACAACAGTCATGCCATCAACCTGCAAGCATCTCCAAATATCTGGGCTTACTGAAAAGGAGTTACACACCCAAAAATTTGTGAAGTGCTCGTGGAACCCATGTCAGTTTTTTGTCCTGCACATTGGTGCCTAAAATTGCAAGGTCCACAATATCTTGGAATGTTGTTGCATTCACATGGTGGCTATATGTTAAAGAATTGCAAATTGCGGTGGTCATCTAGCATGTAAGCTAAAAACAATAGAAAGTGCAGAATCAGAAACACTGCAGTTGTACAGGAGATGTCGGGATTCAAAGCTAGTTCCAGGAAAGGTGTTCCCAGGCATTGCAAGACACTTAGAATTACAAAATATGCCATGGTACATTCTTACCCTCTCACAATGTGACCAATGTCTGCACATAAGGATTGATCCATGACAAAAATGATGTTTCGCAGGCCAACCTACTGTCAATAGTTAAAAAATGCAATGTGCATTGTGAGTGAATGAATGGCATTTGCAGCCACCTGGAGCCATGTTGGAGTCCCAATTGTTTTACAACCCAAGTCTTTGGCTACTGATTCAAACACCCATCTATGCATGTTGTCATCTGGTGCTGGTAGCAGATATTACTGCACCTGTGTGCTGTGCTGTTTGGCAGTCCTACCAAAGCTGACATCTTTTCACCAGCTGATGACACACAAACATTGGCAGCACACTCCAGTCAGCCTCTGAGAAGCACCCATGACTCCAACAAATAACTCTTCCATGATTCCAGTGGTTGTGTGCTCTCAAGCTGGCTCATAGCCCTGTTACTTCACAGAACCACTGGTCATATTAGGGTGGGGACCATGGACCAACTGCAACTGATCAGCTCAGTGCAGCTATGGACTAGGCAGAAATCATGGTCAATTCTCGAACGTCATCTGCTGATTGTGACTGTGGAAGCACATGTGCATTCCCAATAAGTTATATGATGAGTTTAATACTCTGCTGTTTATTGATGCCAGTGTTTTATGCAAGATAAGGTCTTGTATACACCAGTCAACATAACCTCTTGGATTACATGATGGAGGATGTAACAGTGACCACAGTATACAGTAACCAGTGTTGGAAAAATTGACATTTCCTGGTATAATGTAAACTACATTTTGTACTTGAAGATAGCGACTAGGTAAACTGAAACATTTTGTACTCCACCATGACATGACAAAAACAGCTTTTGGAAACTCATTTTACCTCCATTTCATAACCAAATGAAATCAGAAGGCACAACAGGTCCGGACTCTCTGCTCCTGTCATGTACCATGTATTGATATCTGTAAGAGCACAAATCTTGCGCCAAATAGACTTAGATGTCCAATAGCAAGCAATCTGTTTTACCACCTAAGTATACAACAAGTTGTGTATGGAAATGCAAAAAATTAAGTGTGAATCCTGAATGGAGTTGTCTTTAAACAATGCTGGAAAATGACAAACAAATATCACCATTGCACCAGTCAGTAGATTAGCAAAGCTCTCAATTCATATGACCTGTGCAGACCAACACAAAACTAAACATAATTTAACCTACCATTAATGACAAACCACATTAATTGTCAAGGGTGCCACAAGTGGTGATAGAAAAACCATAAAACCCAAGTGCCTACCACAAACAGCCACCTACTCACACTCCACCACTGCACCATGTCATGGATATGCAAATAGGAGAATCACTCACAAATTGGCATCGGAAACATATCAACTATTCAGTGGCTGTCGCCCACCTCCCAGCTCAGGTCTGAGAATGTACGTAGCAAAAGTCTCCAATTGGTTTAAATGATTCACCTCCTCGTGACTGATTTGTCAAGAGCATAAAGAATCTGCTCATGCTCATGTCTTAAACAGGTTTGTGAACATTTGGACAGAAGCTGTATAGAAATGGGCCTCACAATTATAAAGGCTGATTTGTACTTGTCCAGAAATGCCTCTCATCGGATTCCTGACCACTTGCTGGTATCCAGGGTACAAAAATGTAGGGGAGCTGGGGATTTAAACCCAGTTAAAGGTGACATTTAGAGGAGTGAATTTAAGGCTAGTAATTCAACCTTTACAAATATCTATCCTTAGTCAAAAAACATTGTTATAAAGACAAACAAGTGTTGGGCCATCTCATATCATCCCTGACAAGCATTGGAAAACTTGATGTTTCCTGGTATAATGTATACCAGGAGATCTTGTACTCCAGGATTTTGACTAAGCAAAATGAAATATTTTGTACTCTAGCATGATGCAACAAGAACAGCTGTTGGAAAAACTCATTTTACCTCTTCATGTCAGGACAAAATAAAAACAGAACATGCAACAGCTTGAGACTTGCTGCTCCCATCACGAGCCATGTATTGATATCTGCAAGAGCACAAATCTTGCACCCACCAGACTAAGGTTCCTAATAGCAAGCAGCCTGTGTTGCAATGTAAATAAGAAAATCACCTGCAATTCAGCGTCGGAAACATCTCAACTATTCAGTGGCTTGTGCCTGCCCTCCAGCTCCGGTTGGAGGTTGAATGTAGAAAAACTCTCCAACTGGTTTTCATGATTCGCCTCCTCGTGACTGATTTGTCAAGAGCATAAATATTCTGCTCGTGCTCAAACCTTGAACCGATTTGTAAACATATGGGGGGGAAACTGTATACCGATGGACATCACGATTACGAAGGACGTGCTTGTACTCATCCAGAACCGCCATGTGGTTGGATTTTTGGCCACTTTCTGGTATCCAGAGTGCAAAAATGTTATGGCAGCTGTGGATTTGAACCAAGTTAAATTTGCCACTTAAGGGTGTGAAATTAAAGTTGGCAATTCAGGCTCTACAAAATACTCTTTTAAGTCGAAACACATTGCTATAAATGGCCAAAAAAACTGTTCGGAGACAGCAATCTCACTCCGGTAAAAACACCAGGACACCAGAAAAACATGAACCCACAACTTTGGCCCAGCAAATTAAGGAGAAGGGTTTGTTAGGACAAAAACATCAATTAATTGCAACCTAAATTATCATAGTTTGCAATAATATCGGTTGAAGCTCTTCAAAATCCATTAATACCTTGCATTATCCGCCGGAGTCAGCGGAGTGACCGACTCCAATCCCTTTTGGTCGGCCTGCACCGTCTGTCAGGCAATGCACTTCTACTGGGTCGGTAAATCGGTAAAGAGTGCTGCCTGTCTCTATAGTTCGGGTGGGATGTGCAGGGTCTCGTGTGTTGACCGGGAGTGGGTAGGTGAAGGGCATGAACATTGAGCTGTTTTTAAAACCAGTTAGCCGGTGGAGCGTGAGTAGCGTGACCGTGGTGGAGCTTGAGTAGCGTGATTGTGGTGGAGCATGAGTAGGTGGCCGTTTGCGGCATGTTCATTTGCATTTTTGTGTTCCACTTTTGTCTGGTTGTGCATATTGTACCCACCCTCCATTCTGGAGGGTGTATATGCCCGGTGTGTAGCCACTCTCCATTTTGGAGTGTATGAGCCTGATGCGTGATTACCCTCCATTTTGGAAAGTGTATACACAGAGCCTTTCATATAATGCAAACCAATGTGTATGCACATGCATTTCATAGTACAGGGTATGACACTGTTGTTTCAGTGTGTCATGTTTAATACTGATGTTTCCTTTCATTTAAAATGTTTTTATGTGAATTGCTGTGTATGAAAAATGGCACTTCTGTTGAATGCCACCCATTGTACTATTAGCCCCTGAAGATGACCTAAATAAAGCTGTAATGACTTGCAGCACTTGGATAATTTTGTACTCCACCATGGAAAATTTGTGCTTGGCTTTTTTGGAATTCCTAACACTGTCTCTGATAGCCATCTAACTCTGGCAACGAAAAAAAAACACCAGGAGACCAGAGCAACATGAGCACATCACTTTGATCAAGCAAGTGAAGGAAAAAAAATTGTGGATAAAAATACCAATAAATTGATGACATTTTGCAATATCAGCTAAAGCAAATAAAATCCATTAATACATAGTACTATCTGCCAGAGTCAGCAGAGCAGCTCCGATCCATTTTGGCCAGCCTGGATGGGTCTGTCAGACAATGTACTTGTGCTGTGGAGGTAAATCTGTCGAGAGTGCTGCCCGTCTTTATTGTCGAGCTGAGGCATGCCCAGGCACCATGTGTTGTCCAGGAATTAGAATATGGAGGGCATGAAGGTTTTGCTGTTTTCAAAACCAGTTTCCACATGGAGCTGAGTGGGTGGCCATCTGTGGACATTCATTGGCAATGTCTTGTTCCTTTTACTCTGGCCAGCTCTAAACTTATTCTGCAAAACTGTGCACCTTCACTAAGCAACTTGTTGGTGACTTTGTTAGAACCCATATGATGCCTACAATTTACAGCAATACTTCAGGAGAAAAGACTTGCCTAGATCCTTGTTTTGGAAGGCCTTTTTACAGCTTGCAAAGCTCTATATACATATGCACATATGTTTCATGTTACAGAATTTGAGACTGTCTTGTTTTAGTGTGTCATGTTTAACACCAATGTCTTCTTTCATTTGAAGTGCTTTCGCATGACTCAATGCATATGAAAATGGTGTTTCACTGAGTACCACCCACTGTACTGTAATCTCCCAAAGACAACCTAACTAAAATGTCATGACTCACATCCCTTAGAAAATTTTGCAATCCAGTCTGGCAAATTAATACTCTGCTACCAGGACTTTTGGGGGAATCTCCAACACTGCGGTAGCAACATCAAGGGCAACATCACAGCAAAAATTCCAGTGTGTGCATCATAAATCTGACTACTTAGTTTAATACATGGCTGAAAATTTTCAGGTCATAGCGCTAGTGCCTAAGGAAATATGATGTTGCAAAGGTAATTTCTGCCAGTTAACACTACATAAGTTCCAAATTATGCAAAATTAAGCCTGGCTGAGTTTGATGTATGCAACCAGCCAGTTTGATTTTATGGTTGTGTGAATGTATCAAAGGAGGTGGATGACCTTTTGTAGGTTGAAAACTATCCTGCAGAGGAGCTAAATGTGACTTTGTCATGCCCAAGATGTTTTTTATACTGGAAGAAATCACTAAAATTGACTTGTTTAATAAGCTGGTATCATGAATACTGGCATGGAAAGTACTACCTTAAATGCCTGTTTGCCTTATCCTTCTTTGCTCATAATATACACCCTACTCTTCAGTCACAATTATCACCTCAATTCCGGAACGTACTGTTTACAGCTGGCGCCAGCATATGGTGGCAAGCCCACCTTTTATGAGAAATTCTCTTATGCAATTATTAAATGTCGAGGAAAGCATCACCGTATACCTTAATAACCATCACACACATTCCTTCTACTGTAAAAAAGTAACAATCATTTCATGCAAATTGGGCCTATACACATATATGCACATCCCAAATGACATGGGGTTGAAACCTTATTCCTCAAATCACCCAGTGTCATAAAAATGTCACCAATAGAGCAGATGGTACTTTATAGGGCTACCATTTCATAATTCATTGATACCTGCTTTTCAAGGTCATGCTGATACTAACTTTTTCTTTACATAAAAATTCATGGAGTTAAAATCCATACACTGAAAGCACCACTGATGATCAAACTGTGCATACTGAGCACATGGAACAATGTAAATAATCTGCAGGCTGCCTGGAATAAATTACACAAAATGAAATAACCATAAAACTCCTGACCTTTCAAGAGCACACCAATTTCAATGTCTTTGCCAACAGTGAGTCATTCTATGATTATGACTCACCATTATGAGATCGTGGGCAAAGACGAATTCTCCAGAGGGGAAAGCAAAACCATCAAAACAAAGGGGTACAGAGGGCTAACACCTGGACACCCTCACAAAAACACCAAATACCTGCCTAAGGTGATCCGAGTGAACAATCAACCCGACCTTTGAACGACGAAGCGGTTGACTCATGCCCCTGAATTAGATTTAGGAGTATGCGACGGCAAGCGAGACGTGATGTTCAATGGTGTCAGGTTTCGAAAACGATCAGCACAGCTATCCCAGGTACTTCCACGATATCTGGACAAAATTATACGTGTTCTGACCTGAAATGATGTCTTTGTAGACCTTCATGGTGACGAATAAGGCCTCAGCCTGCCAATCACAGCCACAGCGCACCACTACCACCGCTACGGACAACCGAAAAGGAAGCTTCTTCGTTAGAGATGAATTACACCAATCGGGGATAAATAGTTGGTTTGAGCGATCAAACGGTTAATATATGCAAGTTTTTACTTGAACAATTTTTTACAAAATTATCAAAATATTTTTACCTTTTGATGTATCCAAAACTGCAGAAAACCACAGCATAGCGATGTCAACATAGGGATGAGAAATCATTAAACGCATTCGTTATTGGCGCTTATGTGTCTTTTCAACTGTGTTTATGAATAAAGTCCAAAATATTGTTGGTTTCTAGGATGAAAATGCTCTTATGCTGAATAGTTACAGTGAGTTTCAGGAGTGTGCAGCGTGACAGGCGTTGCGCGAAGTTGTAGGGGTGGGCGTTGTGCTGGGTCGTAGTGGGTTGAGCCTGGTAGTAAAATAATATGTGTATCTGAAGAATGCAAGTGCGTGAAGGATTTATATCGAGCAATTTAGGAACATGTTCATTGATTCCATGTTTTTTGTTGTGGTTATTTCTGGGTTGTGTATTGTTGCCTGCCATTTTCACTGTTTTTCTTGCTATGAGAGGCATTGACAGGTGTACCTATGCATCATAAAATTTTGCTGGCAAATGTTTTGCCTAAAATGATGTCATGCTTGCAGGTGCCTCAAACAAGTGTGTCATGGCCTCTGATGAGAATGTCAAGTCAAGATTGCAAAACTTCAAAAATAAAGGAAAGGATCAGGATGTGAGTATACTGATTGTTCAACACATGCTTTGGTTGAGGGATCAATATTTCCACCTTGTAGGTTTCTCAGGATCAATTTTGTATAGATGTAGATAATTGAATAGTGGATTGCTTGGTTTCAGGGAGTACAGATGTACTTGGTGAGTTTGCTGTCTGTGAGCAGATCAAATCTGGCTATGGATTCAGCAAAAGACATTTTAGGGAATCATCCAATCAGATGCAGCAGTAGAGTGCTAGATGAAACTATACATCTCTTAGATAGCTTCTTAGGTATCACAACAATGGAATTAATAAATTTAATTGACCTTCAGTTAAGTATGAATATCATAAACATTAAAACCAAACTGTTTTATTGCTCTGGAGCTTCCTGCATAGAGTGGCTGTCAGGTGTTCATTTCTTGTTGCTTGATAACAGTAAGTACATTTTACATTTTCCATGGACTTCCTTAATGTTAGAAAAGGTCACAGACCTGAAATGACAAAGATCAACATTTTGTATAGAGCATACTGTCTAACATAATCTGTAGAGCTTTTTCAATGCAAACATGAAAGTTGTCTTGGTATGATTTTGTTGCCATGGCCTTCAAAAGGTTGGGAGATCATTGACCATAGATAAGCACCAGTGATCTTTTGCTTAGAACAGGCCCTAAGTTCACAGAGCTGGCATGAGAAGGTCTTGGAGCACTTTGGACACCAATGTACAGTTTGACCTTGTTTTACCTTATTTAGTACAAAGTTCATGACCTAAGAACCTTAAATTTTGACACAATTGAGATCATATATAGGCCAAGAATATCCTGTGAACTGGGGTGTGTGTAGCTATCTAATTTCTGAGATCTCAGGGGGTCAAGTTGACCACTACCCAAGTGACAGGCATTCAACCAGCCTCTAAATGCATGGAAGGCAATGTTTCAACATTAAAGATATTAAAGCAAGCATCAGATATCATGAAACAACCCCACTTTTAACTATAAGTATACTTCTTAAGTGGAAAAGGCTGCTTTAGACTACACAATTTTCCATTAAGTAAATATGCTCATCAATGCATCATGGTTTCATCATGTCATCATACTTTGCACATCACCGACCAGGAGCCACAAGACTGCTGTGATATCTGGAGATCACACCAGGAATGCCCAGATATGTATGCCTCAACAATTATGCTTTCTCTGCCTCTATCACTGCATGCCTTATGAAATGGAAGGATCTGAATGATGTGATATGATGGCATGAATACCAAGGTGACTGAAAAAGCTGTCTGAGATATACCTCTTCCCATTTCCACAGGTGTGTAGCTCAGATATTAGATGGGCTTAGGTCTTAAGAAGGGCAGAGCTCTGAACATTGCCAAAAGGTCTTAAAGATGGCCATTTCAGTTCAAAATCCTATATAAGTGTTGAACACTCCCTTTAAGTACAGGTGTGGAATATATTTTTCCAGGGATTGTCTTAGGGGTTTATCTGCATACTGTGCTATGGAATTAGGATGGGAGCATCATCTTCTGTAGATGAAAGAGGTTGTTAGACTGATGCCTTGATAGCCAAACATCCCGTAAATGGTTGTTTTCCATCATATTCGGTCTACTTTCTAGTGATAAATGGCATTTTTTCTAGCATTCCTAGCTTTTAAAGTGAACTGTTTTTCCTTAAGTTGCAAATAGTGTGTACTATTTCTCATGCATATTGTTGTTCATGCGTATTCATGCATGCACAGCACATTATTCATGGCCAGCAAGTAATGACCAGAGATGATAGGCTTTGTTTAATAGTATTTTTGCATGGTGTACTGCACCAGCCAAAAAGATTTGGGCCTCAGCAAGTTTTAGGGTGTATATCTCACCATTGGGAAAGTCAAGGTCCCACAAAACAATCCCAATGGGCCAAATAGATACCCCTGACAGAGTTTGTGAGGGGGAGGGAGGGGGGTGTTTCTGATGGAGATAGCAAACACATACTGGGTTGTATAGTGTAATATGCTCCTCTGCAGTGGCTGCAAATATATTAAGTTCTTTTAATCCGTTTTGAAGCCTTCTACCTGGATACCATTGAGTCCATGCCATGAAATACCATGAAAGCAACATGCCTGCCTTTCCTTTGCAATTCTAGCTCAAGTGGAGCCTGAACCCAGATTGTCTGTGAGATGTCACACTGAACTTTGCATAACCATGGGGATGGTTTGTGATCAGCATCACAAATGCATAATCTGGTGGAGGGGTTGAAATGGGAAAAAGTGTGGAGGTCTGGGGACTGATCTGAGCATTAGACATGTCACTTGTTGCCACTTAGTCTGCTATTAGTAGGCTGTACGATTCAGGTTGCGGCATTAGTCAAAAGACCATCAAAAACAGTATATCTGTGAATAATTATGCTTGTACAGACTAGGAGACCATGGATATGGGCAGATCGTGGATATGTGGTGAAAAAAAACATTTGGTTTTGGGTTTCAGGCATAATGGAGGACACTGACGATAAGAACATTCCACAAATGCATAGGCCCTGTGATTTCCAGAAGGTTTTCGCCCTCAATAATTGGGACTTCCTGAACTTTTGTGTTTCTTGAAATGAGTTGGACATTGTTTGAGCAGGCGTTGGACATTGTTTCAGGCCGGGGATTGATACAATTGACATTGCTAAAGGGACTATCACATTTGAATACATTGAGTTAATCATCAGATATGATGGAAACTGCTCGCCTGTAACCGTGAGTGTGTTTTTAAGTCCAAAATACTTCTCAAAATAACACAATTTTACTATTTCAGTAAATGCCTTCCTCAATACGTCATCGTTTGATGACGTCATCCTATGTTTTTTTACGCCAGAGTCGCTGCCAAACTTGCCGTGTCAAAGTTGCCCTCGTAGTGGACGGAGTGACTCACTTGTGGTGCTTCTTCGCTCCGCAAGGTGGCGTTTATGGTCTATGCGGAAGAGTTTGTGTCGCGATCGTTCTGTGCGTGTGATTTGGCCTCTCTAAATGTGGCGTTGATGCATATTTCTGATAGGTGGTATGTTTGTATTTGCGTTCGCAGTTACTTCGCTATTTGTAAGCCTATGCAATTTTCAGGCTCACATCCGTCATACTAGTAGCTGCCCAAATATCTATTCGTGATCGAGACTAACAATCGGCAGCCGGATCTGGCTGTTAACCAATTGCCTTCTATCGTGGACACTTGGTGCTGAATCACCAGAAATACGAACATTTCAGGGGTCGTATTGTTCTTGCCCATGCACAATACAGGCAATGAGGCGAGATATTCACATGATGCCTCTGTGGCGTCATACATATTTAGGTGAAATCAAATTGGCTGCACAAGTTCGTTTACATCATGTTCAGCAACAAAGGGGTTTAAGTCCTAAGAACGGCATGGCTGTGAACTGCGTATGTCATTGGGGCGTTACGATGACCTCAGCTGGTGAGGCTGTGTGGTGTCGCCTGTCTCTCACCCTGGCACGAAAGGCGGGCACCGCGTGAATTGAGTACCGTGCTCCTTGTATCCCAGACGCGCAGTTTAACTGCTACGCTCCCCTGGTACTCCTGACTCTGAATCGCAGGGAATGATCTTGGAAATGGATAACTCAGTTCAAAACCACATTCAAGTGAGAAGCCGCCACTTCAACGTAATCTTAGCCTTGCGTACTTCCAAGAGGGTGAAGGAAGGGATATCTTTTGAGCTTCCTGTTGTTCGCGTTGTGCAAAGGCCTGTAATCAAACGCGATTAATCGCTCGCCATAA